AAGCACTTTAATAATTAGATATACATATATACTACATATATATTTTTAATATAGCCATGATACTACAAGAAATTGTCTAAAAATAAAATATAAAAAAGCCCGCTAGGCCCGCGAAGCCCACGAGCCCGGCCCGTTAAGCACAGGACCATGTGGGCTTAGGCCCGTCACGGGCCGGTTCCACCCATTAGGCCCACGAAGCCCGGGACCGCGAGGCCCGGCCCGTTAGGCCCACTAAGGCCCGGGCCCGGGACAAAATACAGCATTAGTTCTCAAATTTAAATATTTACTTGCACGGTCAATGCCTTGAGGCTGCGCCAACTTTGCTTTGTCAGGTGAAATGTTTGACAATCTTATCAAACCAAATCCTGCAACTTTCAATAGACCTCCATTGTCCAGCAAAATATTTCTGGCACCTTACAAAAATTACAAACATTAAAAGAAGTAGATATCTCAATGAGTGCACTGAAAAAGATCATTTAACATCTGAGAATCATAAAGCATTTAGTTTCCTTACTTTGGCATTAAAAGACAATGGATAATTGGGTCTGGTTTACATTCATGAAGATAATTCATGCCCCTGAAAATCAGGATCATATGTCATAACCAGGATGCAGCCAAAGAAAGTAGATCGTCTTATCAGCATAAAAAATTAAAAATTAAAAATAACAAAAGAATTCTCGAGTGTACTAATAGAGCCTTTTTTTTAGTATGCATGAAAGAGAACAGACTTGCCTAGCAATATCAAGTGCAAATCTTAGAACCTTAGAAGCAGAAAGACGTCCCTTCTTCTGAAGATAGCTACCCAAATCACCCTGTAAATCAACAATAAATGAAAAGCCTAGCCAAGAAATAAGTAAAGCGCATAAAATTGATAAGAATGAAAAACACATCATGAGAGAGATCGCAACATAAAATTGAATGTACTATTGATGTAAGAGCTGATCAAAATATTTTCTCAATATTATGCATGCATAATAATATACAAAATTTGGTGTCTAGGTGGATAGAGTGAAGAAGGGATTTTGTGGGGAACAAGGTGAGATAGAGAGAGCTTACACTTGGATGGTACTCTAATACTATCATCATTGGAATATTTTGTGTAACGGCTCCAACAAACTGAACCACATTAGGATGCCGTACTTTTTCCAGCAAAGTTAATTCATGTTTGAAAGCATTTCTGCATACGAAGGATATGGACTTAAGGCACATTAATATCAAGAGAAGAAACAGTTTACTGAACAACAAGAATTTACGAATCCTAAATAACAACTCAAAAAGTGATTTGTCCAAATGTGAAGCCAAAAGAACACATCAAAAAAAGAATTTGAGAAGCTACACGGCCTAATAATGAAAAAATTGGTTCTGCAAGGAGAAAAATGTGAATTATGTACAAGACTGCAGCTTTAAGAAGTCCGATCTCAACCCCAAAAAATTCTCCCCAACTACAAAAAGTTCTCATCAACCGTTAGACCAAGATATATTTCAGAAGATAGTCTAAATGATCTTATTATAATATAGTAAAACTAAAGTAGCGGTTCTGTCCGCTCTCATGAATCAAGGCACTTGGATATAATGCATCTCCCCTGAATCACTTCAATGTCTGGGTGCAACTTTGTGGCAATCACACATGAATGAAAATAATAAGTTTTTCTTAAATTAGACAGGCACCAGAAAAAGGATAGTGTACGCAGTTTCATTTTCGGCAAACTGACGACCATAGCTAGTGGCAGTAAAATAAAATCAAAGAAGCTTGGTATGTATGCAACCAAAATTTGGAATTCACAGAAATGTTAGGATGAATAAGGTAAACTACACAAGGAGGCTGTCACAAACAACATATGTGAGCATCGACTTATTATGTATTATACTATTATGCTACAACCCGAGTTCGAGGAACCCCAGCCTACATAACTAGGGTGCAGAAAATTCAAAGAAGCTTATAGAATTATGCATTCCAAATTTCTGGTTTTAGGGAAATGTTAGGATGAAATTGGGGAAATGCCTAACAAGAAGGCCACCAAAAGTACCAGGTGTGATACTCATTCCTCAACTTATTACATATTACTACAAACCCAAGATGCATTCCATGAGCTAAATCTGCCAGCATTACAGAAACATATGAATATAACGAGTATTTATCTACTAGGCTGGATTTCCTTTTGCGATGCACAATTTCATCTTTCTATCACTTTAGATGCTCAAAAGGATAAGATTCATGGATAAAGACCTTGCAGTATGCTATACATTGGGATTCACATAAATGAAACTCTATGACCGGATGATCAGAAGGAAATGCACCGCTATATTTTTGACAGATGTATTTCCAGCTTCTTCAGGGATTTTGGTTTTCTTATGAAAATTTCATAAAGTCACCTACAAGCCATCCAATACCGTGTTCACAATCTACCAAGCATAAAAGAGCAAAGAACCACCTATTAACTGTAAATAACTACGTTGCTCGGATTCTTCAAAAATGCCTCGGTGTTCATGTTGAATCCTCCAAAGTTCAGCATTTTTGGAGAGTACCAGCAATATAGGTAAATAAAGGTCAGTGTTAGATTTAAGCACACATAATGATGTCATCAACTCGTCCACAAGATTGTTTTATAACAGAATGCAACTTAGTGGAACAGCCTGCTTAATCAAACATGAAAGTACTCCAAGATGTCTTGATTTCTTTTGCTGGACAATTGCTTGTTGACTAACACTAGGAAACTTTTCCTAGTTTTCTTAGCCAGATTCCTTCAAACAATAAGCCTCAAAGTTAATATTAGCAGTCTAGGCTTCGTGTATAGACACAGAAAATAAGTCCAAACGGGATACATGAAATGTCACCCAAGTGAAAGTGAAGAAAACAAACGGTTTCAACATGTGAAAACCAACCTAAGCTGGATAAAACATCTACCAAATCTGTACCGCGAATTTAATAACCAGATCAATGTATCATGTCAAAGCTTGCTAGTTACAGAGGATCAGGCAACATGGTTACTAGCTGAAGTCAAAATAGAAGAATATTTCCCAATCAGAGAACAGAGTGGCCTATGGGCGTGAAATAGAAGATTAACTGAAAATACGTTCACAACATACATGGTTTCGGGGTCTGAATAGCTATCCTTGTCAAGTATCTTGACAGAAACTTTTGTCCCATTCCATTTAGCAACTTGATATGAACCCTGTCAAAAGTAAAAAGAAAGTTGCAGCGAAGTTGTTGAGAAAAGACTGAAAATTAGCTGTGCAAAATCAAGCACGAAATCCATGAAGAGGCTATGTCACAAAACACAAGAGGAGAGGCAAGTGACCACAGATATTTCATAGCTTTCTTCAGGAAGCAAAGCAGGAAATAAATGTTCAAAAGTTTGCAAAAAGTTAGAAATTTGAGGTGAGGTCTCCTACGATAGTTGGAATCTTAACTCGCTGCAAATGAGCTATGTTTGATGACATAATTGGATTAAGAAGTTTCACCAATTCACAAGCTGAATACTTAAAAGTAGACCTAAAATTTCAGAGTTATGACAAAGTGCTCATTGCAACCATCAGAAGTTAAAGAGGATAAACTAAATCTGATTTTAGATAAACATGTAGTAAGATGATCTCCTGGTTATGTATGGAACGAGGCATAGCAGCAGTAGTCAATCTCTTCTGTAGAAAAATTGCAGCACCATCCATTTCAATTTTAGTTCACGACCGGAAGGCTGCATCTTCGAACATGGGTTACTCCTTACTACAACGTATACAGTTCTTCTAGTGAAAATCAAACAGCTTACCATTATAACTTCTGAAAGTTTCTTATACTACGCATACTGCACACATGGCATTTAATGCTTTTATCATTTATCAAAATTAAAACGTCCCACTGCTTATTTTGAAATCTTAGATACACCTTACCTTCGAGATTCCATCCCTTTTCCGGATTTGAAGCTCAAGTGGATTGAGTTCATATTCTGGAACTTCTCGAGGATTTGCTACAGTCATTGGTGTGTTTCTGGTTTTCTAGCAACATGACTTATACTCAGCGCCATATTACAATAAAACTCACTCTAACCAGAAAATTATCTTCCCACTTACCGGGATTTTGGCCCCCCGGGCTTTTAAGATATTGTAAACTTCAACATTTCCATAGTATTTCGCATCAGCTGCAGCCTGCATTATGCATTTGAATACTTATAAATAGTATTTGTCAGATGCAAAGAGATAAATAAAATTGAAAAATAAAGAGATATATAGTCTGTAAATGTCACAGGTTTGCATTTTTCCCTCTCAAGTAAGATTTGTTGAAGCCACTTGAACCTTTTTTTATTCTGTAAGACCTAGTAAGTCCTTTCTCATCTTATGCCAACAAAATTTTCTAGTTCCTCTAGTCCTTCTCATGATTATTCACAAATCAGGGAAGAAACTAGCAACAGAATAGTTTTCCAGGCAAACCAACTTTTGTTCCCCATAGATTCACAGTTGCTAAAGTTTCTGAAGAATCGAAACTTTGTTCCACACCCCTTATTCATATTTCCTCGATATAAATCTAAAGTTACAATTTTCCATATTTACTTGAACCAAGATTTCATCAATTATCAGGGACAATATATCAAGGAGAATAGCAAACAACAATAAATAAATAAATAAAATATTATCATATTTCGGGTTCATTGTCGTGCAAATGTTGATTGAAACAAGTGATAAGAGTAACAGCAGTAAAAATGACTTACACCCCTAAGTGAGAAAGATATTTTCACATTAAATTTTACATAATTCAAGGTAAGATCCAATTTTTTCTCCATCCCAATTTATGCGGATGGTATTTCCTTTTTAGTCTATCCTAAAACGAACAGTACATTTCCATATTTCTAGCGATACAAATGTAGTTCTTAATTTAGACAACAAGTTCTAAATTTTTCTTCTTTTTTTTTTCTTAAACTTTACATTAAGTCAAACACCATCATATAAAATGGAGTAAAAGACGTATTAATCTTCGTCATACCAAAGACAATATATCAAACATTTAGAAGTTTACGATCCAAAAAATGGTAAAAATAGTACTCCCTCCGTCTCAATTATCTGTCGTGATTTAAAAAAATAGTTTTCTCAAATTATTTATCACTTCAAGACAAAATTAATTATATTTTTCTCATTGTACCTTGATAGTAATTGTTCTTGAAAACGGAGATAACGACTAAATATTCAACTGAGAGGTCATATCTTAAGACATAAATAAGGGTAAAATATTCCAATATCCCTTGTAATTAACATTTTCTAATAATTTAAGACAGAGGGTAATTAAGAAAGAAAAGTGTACCGTGCTTCCCCAACGATCACGGGCATCAAGATTAGCCTTCCGACTCAACAAAAGCTTCACAACTTCTACATGTCCTTCACACGCAGCAATATGCAGAGCAGTCCTTCCATCTAAATCAATGCTATTCACATCAACATCATCTTCATCTAACAAATCCTTCACGCCTTTCACGTCTCCTTTACACGCCAAAAACAACAGTTGCATCGTCGAATCCAAATTCTCCGGCACTGCATTAGTAGTCTCATTTTCTAACGATGGAATCCTCCGTATTGGATCAAGTGACGATTGCCTCCCGAAACTGAACCTCATGTTCTTGCTCTTTGGATCCAATGAATTTTGTCTCTTGAAACTGAATTTCCCGCTCAGTCGCAATGATCCTGTTGAGAATTGCCTCGATATTCCTCGTTTCAGTTGCGCTTTTACATCCATTTTCAATAATTTCACCTAAATAAAAGAAGCAAAACCTATAATAATTATATTATCATTATTCTTTTTGTATTAGTGAGCTCGTGAATGATCATTTCATTTACGAGAAACGGCAAAGCATTTGATGGCGAATATTTGTTCTGAAATAATTGAAAATTTGGTAGTTGAATGTGCAGAATTGAGAATGAAATTTGAGAGAGAGAGAAAGAGAGGTGTGTTACAATGGAGGAAAGGAAGGAAGGGATTGGACATTTTCAGGTACATCACAAAGCTTCCCGGAAAATGCGTTACTGCTGTTGATATGTCACCTCTAATGTGACCTTGTGACAATGGTCCACTTTTTTTTTTCTTTTTCTTTTGTTTGTCTTTTCGTGAATCAACAATGTAACTTTATAGCCAGACCAAAAAAAAAACAGTAAATTTATTAGTTTTTCAAGTACATGAACAATGAAATTTGAACTAACATGCAGGAAAAAGTAATTTTCGTCTAATATGAAAATAATTATAAAAATATTCATAAAATCAATGTTTTATTGTATGAAAGATATTTACCGATACCGTTAGATTATAAATGTTATTGAATCTACAACTATGTTTTTTTGCCACACGAGTTATAAGTGTGTCATATATAGAGGCCATTTGAGTTTAACGGAGTCTATTACTCGAATGATCGCTCAACTATCTCAAATTATCTGCTAAAATCACTTTTCTTTTGTTTGTAATAACAAAGTCACTAAACTACTTCTATAGCGCTTAAAAAGTCACTTAACTAGATTTTTCAAATTTTAGATTGCTAAATACCTATTTTACTCTCTAAATTATAAACACTTATCTTCTTTTTATTTTATTTTTTAACTTTTTTATATTATGGATTTTCCTTTTTTAATTTATATTATTGACTTACCTATAGAATAGATAAATTTTATTTATAAATTAAAAAAATAAAAAGTATTTAAGCATATATAATGCTGGAATAACAAAAAAATGAGCATAGTAAAAAATTAATTAAAATAATTTATTCGTAATAATAATTTTATTATTAACAACAAAAATTTTAAAATTATTTACACAATTTAGAATGAAAGAAAATAAAGGTTGTAAAATATATATATTTTTCATGGACATAATATAAACATAATTATTTAAATAAAGGTATTTTTATAATATACATTATATATTCTTAAAAATTATTCTCAGTTATATTATTATTCCGTCATTATATGAGTTGAAAACTAATTTTTTATATTTTATTTTATAAATAAAATATATTTATTCTATAGGTAAGTCCACAATGTAGATTAAAAAGAGAACAAAATTATAGTATTTAAAAAGTTAAAAAATTAATAATTTAGAGGGTAAATAGGTATTTCACAATCAAAAATTTGAAAAATTTAATTGAGTGACTTTCTGAGTGCTATAGACATAATTAAATGACTTTGTTGTTACAAATGAAAGAAAAGTGGTTTTAGCAGATAATTTGAGATAGTTGAGTGACCATTTGAGTAATGGACTCGACTTTAACGAATTGTAAATAGTTGATGAACTTGAAGTATTGCAAAAAGATTTTTCAAGTGTTGAAATTGATTTTATAAAATAAGCAGTTATGTATTTTTATATAATGGTAACGTTATTGATGTGTTTGATAAAAAAGTACCGATAAAATATCTTTTGTTAAATACACTCAAATTAAAAGATTCTAAATTAAGAAGTATCTTCGTAAAGAAAAGAAGGAATAAGGAATATTGAATGAAGAGAAGTTAGAAGTTTATTTTAGGCATAAAATTTTGTGAATTAAAAAAAAATACTATTAAGAATAAAATAGTAGGAGTTTTGATCAAACTAAAGTGTTTATCAGTTGAAAATAATCATAAGTTGGGTGTAAATTTTATGAATTGAAAAATATTAGTAAGGATAAAATAGTAGGAGTCTTAATAAAAATAAAAGTGCTTATAAACTGAAAAATCATAAGTTGAGGGTAACCAACTTATGACTTTTGACGAATTTTAGCTTATAAGTACTTTAGGTGATTATCAAATACGTAAATAAACCAAAAAAAATATTTATAAGACAGTTGGACCAACTTATAATCTTAGTCAAACACCTTCACAATCATATATTGCTAGATAGTTTTCCTAGGCAAAAGATAGTGTGCTCAGTGCTGCTTATATAACGTTCTCAAATGCAAAAGTTGATTTCTTAAATATATAGAATAACTAAAGAATAATCTATTTTTCCGCAATGTAACAATGTGTACGTAGTGTGAATCTTAATATTATTTTCTTAATTTGTTGTAGCAATAGCAATTTGTGCTTCGTAATAGAATAATTCAAATAATCGTTATGAACGGATATATGAATTTATCATCACATACCTTCCGAACTTTTTAAAAAAAAAAAGAATATTCACTCCTCCTCCACTTCCAAAAATAAAATTTTTTCTTTACATTTTTCCAATTCATAAGGGTGCAATTTCCAGCTTACATCTTAACTCTCACTATTATTTGAATAAGATTGATCAATGTTTGATTTATTTATTTTCTTAGATTAGAAATAAAAAGTATAATTTTTAAATAATGTTATACTCTATTATTGTTATTGTTATCGTTCTATTATTATTATAATTGTTTTAGCCATTTTCGTTACTATTTATTATTATTATTATTATTATTTTTTAAAAATTAAAGGATAAGAACAATAAATCTCATTGAATTGGTCTACAACTACTTAATTGTAGATCATAAAAGCTGCCTAGATGTATCCCACAACTAACATGTTGATGCAGTCAACTTGTGAGTTGCAGCTGTCCAACATGTTTGTAAGATGTTGCCTTCCAGAATCTAAAATATCTTTTACAGATAATGAAGGTTTCCATGTCTCTCTATACATATAATTATTACTCTGAGCACGAATTTTAAGAAAAAAATGAATTCTTTTGAAATATGTGGTACTAAACAAGTTCAAATGGGGCCAAGAGTATTTGTGTGGTTATAAAAGCTTCTCATTGAGGGTAGAGTTGTAACTTTAAGCTAAATTGTTACCAAATTTAAAAAGGGTTCATTCTTTTTTGTACGGACCAAAAAGAAAATAGGTTCACATAAACTAGAACAGACGGAGTATATATAACGATGGCGACCTTTATTTTCTCTTCTTTTTGTTTGATCAATAGTTGGATTGAATTTTCCTCTGATTTAGCTTCTTTTTCATTGTTACAGAAACGCATGGAAACCTTCATTATCTGGAAAAGATATTTTAGATTCTGGAAGTCAACATCTTACAAACATGTTGGATAGCTGCAACCTACAAGTTGAAATCATAAGTCCTACGTGGACCAATGGAAGAGTGCCATGTGACTCTTTACGAAGGCCCACTTAGTCAACCAGTCAACGGTTAATGTTAGGGGCATTTTAAGACAAAAGATAACTTTGAGGACGTTTATGGTCCAAAAGGTGAAAGAAGGATATTTTAAAGGTAAATTTAATAGATTAAGGACATTTTTGGTCTTTTCATATTATATATGTAACATCTGAAAGAATAAAAACAGAGAATCAAAAGTTTGTGGATTCAAATCTGTAAAAGCATCATAGAGTTTAGTTCTTCTGTTGTATTTCATACTAATTTGTGTTGTCACTGTAAAATAGTTATTAAATCTTTTTACATGTTACATTTTATTTTATATTTTTTGCTTTTTCTTATATGGATAACTTTTTTGGGTAGTTTTATATGGATAACTAAAAATTCAATAACTTTTCTCGAAAAAATTCCAAATGTTATAATTGTTTATCATCATTAAAACTAAGTATTATAACAATTATTTAGTTTGATATTATCAACTAGAATAATCTACTAGAATAATGTTATCAATTATTATTTTGATATTATCAATTTCGATAATAGCGACAATTGGCAAAACAAAGGAGAGTCTTAGAGCAATGGTAAAGTTATATTTGTTTGACATATGCATCACGTGTTCGAGGCGTGAAATCAACCAATAATGCTTGCATTAGGGTATATTGTCTATATTACATTCCTTGGGGTGTGACCTTTCTCCGAACCCTGCATGAATGCCAAATATCTTATGCACCGAAGCTGCTTTTTTAGGGACAGATAGCAAGACATTTTAATTAAAAATGTTTTGAAAGCTAAATGATTTTTGATGTATCCCCTTTTTATTTTATCTTCTTACAAAAGTGTTTGTCTAGGTACTATGTATCCGCGGCAAATCAAATTATGTACTAAACTTAAATGTTAATAATAATTAAAAAATTAAAGTGTTGTGTATCAAATATCAATCTTAGTCTATCATTCTTTATGAGCCAACTCCACCACACTTAGTAGATCTCTTTTCCTCCTTCCAAAAGCAAAGACAGAGACAGAATGGGAGATTAAACGTGGAAGCAAATGAAAGGGGGACATAAAGAAATGAGATTGTTGCTGAATTTAAAAGACAGATATGGTGGGCCCAAACAATGCTTTTAATAATTCACTTATAATTGACTCCATTAAAACATTTTCTCTGACTGCTTCCTGACTCATGTCACTATGAGTGATAGAAAGTGACTAATTTTGATTCAACCAATTCATTTAAACAATTGATACACCTATTAAATCATTTTTATTGAACTAATTTTTTCCTTTTTATTAATTTAGTAGGACTAGTAGTTATTCAGAGAGTCAAATTTGATTGGTATCTTTTAAATATATTCTAATTGTGGTTTAGGGGTGGGCATCGGTCGGTTCGGTTTGGTTATGAATATTATCGGTTTAACATATCGGTTATCGGTTTACAAATTTGATAAACCGATAATCGAACCGATAAGATATCGGTTATCGGTTTACCCGATAAGATAACTCAATCTAGAGTTAAGCAAAAAAAAAAAAAAGACAATTCACTGGAGTTGTCTTTGCTCAGCGTACTGTACAAAAGAATAATGTTCAAAATATACCCGAAACTGATGAAGATTGTCGATTGAGAATTGATAAGTGCGAAGAGAAATTGGTAGTTGTTATAGGCTGCACAACGTGAGCTCACAAAATTAAGAAACGAAAATAAAAAATAAAGAATCATTAACAGTCAAAAATACCAATATGAAGATGAATTTTGTTATAGAAATTAAAAGTCTAATGTATAAGACTAAAGACTTACGCTAGGAGTAACTAGTAAGGTCTATGAAGATTGAAAATGAAGCAGTTGAAGAGTGCGGCTGAGAAAGAATAGGAGAGAATGAACTGAAGCCCTAGCAGATGTATATACTTAAGGGTAAAGTCATAATTTTATTAGTTCTTATTGGGTTATCGGTTAACCCATTAAAAAAATTGGCAACCC